GGGTTTTTTACACGATCGTTGTCATCCAGATTCCAGATGAGGCAAGACGAACACAACGAAGAAAAACATTGTTGAAATCACCGATTACTGTATATATTGTGAGAAATGCTATTTATAAACTGCAGATATACCGTACACCACAGGATAACGATTGGTGCCCCAACACATATTATGTTTCTTGTTCATTTACACTGCCCATATGCATCACGACAAACGAACGTATTTCGTTCTCGTCCAGAAATTTAGAACTATAATTTTTGTGTTGGACTGTGTTGGATAAATCGTGGACATTCCACGGTATCATTTTATGAAGATGTGAAGACGACATGGCAGGTAGGTTTTGAAACAAAAGATGTACGCGTTTGTTGAAAAGTCTTGGAATCGTTTGGTAGATATTTATATTACCATTAAAACTTACGTCCTTGTTGTCAAACGGCCCACGTGGGTGGGTGTTTACATGACGTCACCCGTTTACGCATTAACCAATGAAATGTATGTGTTATCATGACGTCATATTGACCTGTCAAATCACTTGTATAAGCTCCGCCCACTAGAGTGCGGTAGTTACTACCGCAGATGGGGCTTTAACCTCAAGTCCTCACAACAGTCAAGCCAATGGAAAGGCAGAGTCTGGGGTTAAGACCGCAAAGAGACTACTACGGAAAGCAAAAGTATATGGCAATATTGGACTACAGAAATACACCAACTCAGGGACTCGGCTCTAGTCTTGTGCAACGACTTATGAACAGACGATCGAAGACTCTCCTTCCAACAAGTGAAGCTCTGCTGAAGCCGAGAACAGTGAATGGTGAAAGGGAAAGACTTCGTCTGAAACAGCAGAAACAGAAGTCAGCCTTTGACAAATCGGCAAAAGATTTAACGCCACTAGAAGAAGGTGATATTGTTAGGATGAAGCCATTCACTATGAATGACAAAGTATGGAAAAAGGGAACAGTGCTAAAGAGACTTGACGAGAGAAGCTATGAGGTAGACACACCTACAGGAATACTCCAACGTAACCGTGGACATTTGAGGAAAACAGCTGAACAACATTCTTTGAATCAAACACCTGTCAAAGTTGAAAGTGAACAGAGATTCAGAAAGCCATTAATGTCAAGAGAAAAGCTTATGCCATCTAACAGTCCTACCAGCAGCAGGAGTAATGAGAAGACTTCTCCTGTGACTCCACCTGTGACACCGATGAAGACCGACAGACCGTCGACCACCATGAAGCAAGCACAGACTACACCACCGACTACCACCAGAAGTGGCCGTTCAGTGAAGTTGCCCAAACATCTCAGAGACTTTACCGTGTAGAGTATAGTTGGTGCTCAAGTTCAACAATTATATGTTGAAGCCTCATTTAACAGTCATCCTATTCTGTTAATGTGAGTGAATGTTTACAGACCAGTAAGGTCATGGACACTCATTTGATTCACTTACAGTTATAAGGCCTTCATAATTTAATAGCTTTATAATATGAAAGCTACCCTAAACGTTAATTCAAAATAATGTAAACTGACTTAGATGCCAGTTTAATTTTGATATTATCAAGTGTGTGCCAAAGTTTCCTATGGACTCATGGACTCTTAAAGAAGAAGGGATGTTGCAATATCGAGTAATGACAGCTCCCTATCATATCACAATAATCCAGTGCAATAACTGATCCTTGTACATCCGGGCTTTTTAAGATCATGGCCTCCGAGAGTAAATGTGTCAAGTCAGACCTGCTTCTTGTTTATCTGTAATTAGTGTTTGGATAACACAGGATATTGAAACATGTGGCAGCAAATGTATTGTGGCTGGAGCAGAATCGGTTCAGTTCCAGGTTCATTGACATTTGTTTACACCATCTCAGCATCTCTTTATCAACAATAAAAAATTTTCCATTAACATTTTGGGGGGATATTCTCCTTCAATATATATTTTGAACTTAGTCACTTGTCATATTTTGATGCAGTGTTTCACAGATTATGTGAGTTACAGAGTTACTATATAATCTGGAGATGAGATATTATCCAAGAGTTTGCCACTAATCCCCCGCCCCTGTTGCAAAATGTATGACATAATTAAATCTAAACAAACCCTAACCTTTTTTAACCAAGGTGGAACTTGTTGTCATGGAAATTGTAAAAAAAAGACGAGTTTGCCACTGACATGGCCAAGTCTCCTGTCCAACAAATGAAGTGTATATTATGTCAACAATAGTGAATTTTAATCACACAAACACACACATTTGAACATATTCAAAATTTTGTAAGGTGTAAAAGGCGGCAGGGGAGCATCTACTTCATGTAAATGCAAAATATCCTAAAGAAACAAAATAAAATGCTGCAAATCACAATGTCTATGAAGTTCGAGAAAAAAATGAAACCTTCTCCACAAAAAACATGATGGAAGTACAAACTGACAAAACCAGTTACTACATTTACTGCTGAATTCATTTGGGTGGGAGAAAGAAAAAACATTACAAGTCATTTTACTGGCACTCACTGCGACGAAGTAGGCTGCCATGGGTGCCACACACATTTTATGTTGTGGCTTTTTAACAATATTATAAATGTGAATGTTAAAACTCTACAGCAAAAAAGTCTTCATATCAACATGTGCTGAAAACTGTAAAAAGTTTTATAGAGAAGTATGCCATCTTATTGCACACTCATCTCTGTCATAATCAATGCAGAAGTAGGGATGAAGGATTTGATAATGAAGTGGGGGATAATAATATTATGTGATGATTTTATACAACACAGTCTGCCTAAATGAACAAGTTTACATGTGTCTATTGTTGCCTCCATGTTCCATAGCCCAAGACTTTGTATTTTAGCAAGTGCAGATGAATGACTGTTGAGGCTTTGTGCAACATGGGCAAAACAGCATTGGACTCATTCTAATTAGGATAAGATAATTTACAATTCGAGATATAATCAACATACACCTGCTTCATCTGTTCCTCACTACATACACCAGCAACACCTGTTCCTCACAACATACACCAGCAACATCTGTTCCTCACAACATACACCAGCAACACCTGTTCCTCACAACATACACCAGCAACATCTGTTCCTCACAACATACACCAGCAACATCTGTTCCTCACAACATACACCAGCAACATCTGTTCTTCACATCATACACCAGCATCATCTGTTCCTCACAACATACACCAGCAACACCTGTTCCTCACAACATACACCAGCAACATTTGTTCCTTGTAACATACACCAGCAACACCTATTCCTCACAACATACACCAGCAACACCTTTTCCTCACAACATACACCAGCAACATCTGTTCCTCACAACATACATCAGCAACATCTGTTCCTCACAACATACACCAGCAACATCTGTTCTTCACAATATACACCAGCAACATCTGTTCCTCACAACATACACCAGCAACATCCGTTCTTCACAACATACACCAGCAACATCTGTTCCTCACAACATACACCAGCAACATCTGTTCCTCGCAACATACACCAGCAACACCTGTTCCTCACAAAATACACCAGCAACATCTGTTCCTCACAACATACACCAGCAACACCTGTTCCTCACAACATACACCAGCAACATCTGTTCCTCACATCATACACCAGCAACACCTGTTCCTCACAACATACACCAGCAACATTTGTTCCTTGTAACATACACCAGCAACACCTATTCCTCACAACATACACCAGCAACACCTGTTCCTCACAACATACACCAGCAACATCTGTTCCTCACAACATACATCAGCAACATCTGTTCCTCACAACATACACCAGCAACATCTGTTCTTCACAACATACACCAGCAACATCTGTTCCTCACAACATACACCAGCAACATCCGTTCTTCACAACATACACCAGCAACATCTGTTCCTCACAACATACACCAGCAACATCTGTTCCTCGCAACATACACCAGCAACACCTGTTCCTCACAAAATACACCAGCAACATCTGTTCCTCACAACATACACCAGCAACACCTGTTCCTCACAACATACACCAGCAACATCTGTTTCTCACATCATACACCAGCAACACCTGTTCCTCACAACATACACCAGCAACATCTGTTCCTCACAAAATACACCAGCAACATCTGTTCCTCACAACATACACCAGCAACATCTGTTCCTCACAACATATACCAGCAACACCTGTTCTTCACAACATACAACAGCAACATCTGTTCCTCACATCATACACCAGCAACAACTGGTTCTCCTAACATTATATATGCTACAAATATTAGTTGTTATGTCATTTCTGTTAAAAGTGCAACCCCTCCCATAATCATTGTTCCTCCTTTTCATTGCAACACATTGGCAAAAAGTGCCATCTGCTGTAAGTGTTCCTCATAACACATCTGCTATAAGTGTTCCTCATAACACATCTGCTATAAGTGTTCCTCATAACACATCTGCTATAAGTGTTCCTCATAACACATCCGCTGTAAGTGTTCCTCATAACACATCTGCTGTAAGTGTTCCTCATAACACATCTGCTATAAGTCTTCCTCATAACACATCTGCTATAAGTGTTCCTCATAACACATCTGCTGTAAGTGTTCCTCATAACACATCTGCTATAAGTGTTCCTCATAACACATCTGCTGTAAGTGTTCCTCATAACACATCTGCTATAAGTCTTCCTCATAACACATCTGCTATAAGAGTTCCTCATAACACATCTGCTATAAGTGTTCCTCATAACACATCTGCTGTAAGTGTTCCTCATAACACATCTGCTATAAGTCTTCCTCAGCAACATCTGCTATAAGTCTTCCTCATAACACATCTGCTATAAGTCTTCCTCATAACACATCCACTGTAAGTGTGAGAAAGTCATTGGTGTTAATGTGATGGATATCAGAACAACAAACTGTGGAACCTTTAGCAATATTAGAGAACATCAACTTTTCTACTTCATTAGGAGTGTCCAACAATATGAAACATATACCATGTAAACTCTGACAACAACATCAATACATACCCATCGGGACCATATACGCAATACCTGCAATGTCATGTAAACACTGGTCTGATCTCAGCCTGTTCCACACAAACTGTCACAGTGCTAAAATAGGTTTGTGGTACTCCTTTTGAGCAGTGTCATAAGAGGCCTTCTCAACATTTTCCTCAATGAATATTTAACAAGCCCCAAATGCTTCAGCAATATTTGACTCAGTTGAAACACTCAACAAATCTGAACAAAGTAATAGATGTGCCAGGCCTTCACCTTAGTCATATTTCCGGAGGGCAAAAAGGGTAAGCCAAAACACACGTAAAAGAAATGGGAATGTGTCTGCTATTAAACTCCAGGTAAACAATGAAGCTATATCTTACTTGACAGGTTCTCTCTCTATTTCATCCTTTGAATTTTCATGGGCAGCTTTCTCCTTGGCAACCTCCCTCATTCCCTGCAATTAATGAACTCATTCAACGCCACTCAAAGCACATTAAAGAATAGAGGTTTGATCATAGTCATGTTGTTCCGATTCAAATGTATATATTTTTTTACACAAATTACCTATAACAAACCATACCAATCTCCTAAAACAAAAAGCCAAATAACAATGCCAATCTCGATTCTACCAATTCCCCCTGATCACACCACTGTCATCACCAAACTCCCCTGATAACACCACTGTCAACACCTAACTCTCCTGGTCACCTCAGTCAACACCCCACTCTCCTGATCACACCGATGTCAACACCCCACTCTCCTGGTCACACAACTGTCAACACCCCACTCTCCTGATCACCTCAGTCAACACCCCACTCTCCTGGTCACACCACTGTCAACACCCCACTCTCCTGATCACACCACTGTCAACACCCCACTCTCCTGGTCACACCACTGTCAACACCCCACTCTCCTGGTCACACCAGTGTCAACACCCCACTCTCCTGATCACACCAATGTCAACACCTCACTCTCCTGGTCACACCACTGTCAACACCCCATTCTCCTGATCACACTCCTGATCACACCGATGTCAACACCCCACTCTCCTGGTCACACGACTGTCAACACCCCACTCTCCTGATCACACCACTGTCAACACCCAACTCTCCTGATCACACCACTGCCACCACCTCACTCTACTGGTCACACTACTGTCAACACCTCACTCTCCTGGTCACACCACTGTCAACACCCCACTCTCCTGATCACACCACTGCCACCACTTCACTCTACTGGTCACACCACTGTCAACACCTCACTCTCCTGGTCACACCACTGTCAACACCCCACTCTCCTGATCACACTCCTGATCACACCACTGTCAACACCCCACTCTCCTGATCACACCACTGTCAACACCCCACTCTCCTGATCACAACACTGTCAAAACCTCACTCTCCTGGTCACACCACTGTCAACACCCCACTCTCCTGATCACACCACTGCCACCACCTCACTCTCCTGGTCACACCACTGTCAACACCCCATTCTCCTGATCACACTCCTGATCACACCACTGTCAACACCCCAATGTCCTGATCACACCACTGTCAAAACCTCACTCTCCCGGTCACACCACTGTCAACACGACACTCTCCTGATCACACCACTGTCAAAACCTCACTCTCCCGGTCACACCACTGTCAACACCCAACTCTCCTGATCACACCACTGTCAACACCTCACTCTCCTGGTCACACCAGTGTCAACACCCCACTCTCCTGATCACACCACTGTCAACACCTCACTCTCCCGCTCACACCACTGTCAACACCCCACTCTCCTGATCACACCACTGCCACCATCTCACTCTCCTGGTCACACCACTGCCACCACCTCACTCTCCTGGTCACACCAGTGTCAACACCTCACTCTCCTGATCACACCACTGCCACCACCTTACTCTCCTGAACACACCACTGTCAACACCCCACTCTCCTGGTCACACCACTGTCAACACCCCACTCTCCTGATCACACCACTGTCAACACCTCACTCTCCCGCTCACACCACTGTCAACACCCCACTCTCCTGATCACACCACTGCCACCACCTCACTCTCCTGGTCACACCAGTGTCAACACCTCACTCTCCTGGTCACACCACTGCCACCACCTCACTCTCCTGGTCACACCAGTGTCAACACCTCACTCTCCTGATCACACCACTGTCAAAACCTCACTCTCCCGGTCACACCACTGTCAACACCCAACTCTCCTGATCACACCACTGTCAACACCCCACTCTCCTGATCACACCACTGTCAAAACCTCACTCTCCCGGTCACACCACTGTCAACACCCAACTCTCCTGATCACACCACTGTCAACACCTCACTCTCCTGGTCACACCAGTGTCAACACCCCACTCTCCTGATCACACCACTGTCAACACCTCACTCTCCCGCTCACACCACTGTCAACACCCCACTCTCCTGATCACACCACTGCCACCATCTCACTCTCCTGGTCACACCACTGCCACCACCTCACTCTCCTGGTCACACCAGTGTCAACACCTCACTCTCCTGATCACACCACTGCCACCACCTTACTCTCCTGAACACACCACTGTCAACACCCCACTCTCCTGGTCACACCACTGTCAACACCCCACTCTCCTGATCACACCACTGTCAACACCTCACTCTCCCGCTCACACCACTGTCAACACCCCACTCTCCTGATCACACCACTGCCACCACCTCACTCTCCTGGTCACACCAGTGTCAACACCTCACTCTCCTGGTCACACCACTGCCACCACCTCACTCTCCTGGTCACACCAGTGTCAACACCTCACTCTCCTGATCACACCACTGCCACCACCTTACTCTCCTGATCACACCACTGTCAACACCCCACTCTCCTGGTCACACCACTGTCAACACCCCACTCTCCTGATCACACCACTGCCACCACCTAACTCTCCTGATCACACCACTGCCACCACCTAACTCTCCTGATCACACCACTGCCACCACCTCACTCTCCTGATCACACCACTGCCACCACCTACTCACCTTCAACACCTTCTCACTCTCCTGACCATCCCGCCGCCGCCGTAACCTCAGTTTCCTTGCTATTGGGTCCTTGTGCGCTGCAATATGTATCAACATATTTTGTTGTATCTTCAACCAGTTTGTTAAATCTCCATCACATCCATCACATCTATCATGCTACCTTATGGAATATGAGAAACTAAAGTCTCATAGCAGCCTTAACACAACTTTCTGATGGCATTTAAATGACTTTAAGTTATGCTGGCTGTCAATTATTTTCCTTTTTGACTGTTTTAAAGACCAATTTGGACATACTATCATATGTTTGTGCTTTGAAACCAGCTTCTACCAGTTTATTACTGCATAGCCTTTGACCTCTTTAATAGTGACCAGTTTACCTCATCAAGACCTGTGTTCACATATGACTAGTTCAACTAATCAGTCAAATAGTGTGGACAATATGAATTTGTAGCAGGACTATAGACAAAAGTACTCAGTGGCTGACACTCACGAGTGGACTGTTCTCCAGCTGCCGGCTGTGGTGCCGCCCCGGCCAGTCGCAGCTGGTTGTTGAGGGAAAAGTCAATATTGTAATATTCAGCAGCCTTCCGCAGTTCTGCTGGCTTGGGTGGCATCACTAGGTCAGGATTTTCTCTCACATCTAAAGTCTGCAAACAAGAGAAGTCAGTGTATTAATTATCACTGGACAGAACCACTAACATACAAGTAAAGGCAGTAGCAGTAATTAGGAAATGTTGCAGGGTTGGAAGCAGAAGAACCTAACACAAGTTCAGGAAGTAAACAGTGTAGGGTTCCAATTAGGACCACCTACCTCAAGTTCAGGAAGTAAACAGTGTAGGGTTGCAATTAGGACCACCTACCTCGAGTTCAGGAAGTAAACAGTGTAGGGTTGCAATTCGGAACACCTACCTCGAGTTCAGGAAGTAAACAGTGTAGGGTTGCAATTAGGACCACCTACCTTGAGTTCAGGAAGTAAACAGTGTAGGGTTGCAATTAGGACCACCTACCTCGAGTTCAGGAAGTAAACAGTGTAGGGTTGCAATTAGGACCACCTACCTCAAGTTCAGGAAGTAAACAGTGTAGGGTTGCAATTGGGAACACCTACCTCGAGTTCAGGAAGTAAATGTAGTATATCTGGAAGTGTAATGAGTCGATTCTTGTTCAGGATCAACTTCTTTAACTTGCCACATCTGCAAAACATTTGGAAATACGTTTTACAAAATTGATTGAAACTTTGGATAAACATAATATAATGGATTATAAATGTAAGTCCTGGTACACAATGAACACTTTCTATATGGCCAGATAGCGTAATAACAGGACTAACTTGCTTAATTCAGTACGGATTTGTTTACATGCCACACTCAGCAATATTCCAGCCTGTAAATAGTCGAGTCTGGATCAGACAATCCAGTGATTGACATCATGAGCATCGATTTACACCATAGGGTTATGAAAATATTCATCAACCTGCACTTACATTGCAACAAGTATGTACATGTGTGTGTCTGCTTGCTCTAGCCAGGACTTATACTTGTTTTATAGTGCTAGCCTACTGAGATACAATGTCGCAGTTTAACAAATACCCTAATCAGACACAGTATACCGACTCAAAGCCAACCAATTCTTGTTTTACCCCCTGAAAGCAGAGAGCTGTGCAGGGTAACAACAAGTACCATTTTTTTATGTCCTTTGGAATGATGAGGTTTGGAGGCCTGCCAAGTTTGGAATAGATGAACTGGTATGACCATACTGTCAAAAAGCTGAAGTTGACATTTAAGTGACAAATTGAATTTCTGTGCTTGGCATAAAACATAGAACATAGATTTCGTTGCTTGTTCTATTAACTTCTGGTAGGATTAAACTTAAGCTTCCAATATATACAATAGCTATGAAATGAGTCTAAATAAAAAATTAAAAAATAAAAAAATTAAATGAGTCTAACATATGTCTTATCCCATTGCTCTATATTGTCAAACTATCTAATTTTCACTTACATTTCTTAATTGAAATAAAACAACTTTAATTAACCTTATCCCATAACTAAGAATTTGAATAAAAATATTTGAAAAAAGAAGAAGTTTGGAATCCTGAAAAAATCCCTGATCATAACCAATGATTCACGCCATAGGGTCACTATCTACTGAGCTTGAACACGACAACCAACAAAGGGGTCCAATTGTTGGGGTCCAATTCAAACCCAGCGTACCCCATGGGGCAAACCAAATGAACAAATTATGTGTTCAGGTATTGTCCCCTCCTTATCGCAACAGACAGTTCAGTTGTGTTGTCCGTACATACCTGCACAAACCCTCAGGTATCATCTCCAGGTTGTTGTCAGCTGCACTGAATATTTCCAGGTCGTGTAGTTTACCAACATTAGGGGGAATTCCATCAAAGTCAAGTTGGTTACTGTTCACATACAGTTTTCGCAGTGACACAAGCTTGTGAAGAGATGTCTAAAACACATAAACTTACATATTCTAAAAGCAGCAAGAGGGCCATAGGGCCTGTATAGCTCACCTGGATATTTACCGATCATGACAAAATATACATTTGCATTGTACATGTATATAATACTGCAAATATTTCGTAATTTTGACTGTCTGCATTTAAAAGGGGTGGATGGCAAATCTGACAGCATGAATGTGTACTTCTCTAGATACAAATGTAGCATAAAGATCTGAACCGTTTCCATGTGATCCAGGATCTAAGTTTCCAGAGGCAAGGCTGGACCCCAGGGCAAATCCTATTGGCATTGATGTATTATTCTCCTCATAACAAACAAATGTATACAATGTATCTGTTTATTATAGGGTGGGGATAATATCAGTTTGCATGTTATGGTCAAGGTTCTAACTCCTTTTGGAGTGCCAGACAGATGAACAGAACGGCCAGTCCTGGTAGCATATGTGCATTCCTCTCATTATACTCTCAATTGTACATATAGTTATATGGTGGGGATCTTAACTGTTTTCAAGATATAAACACTTTTTGGCCCCGCCCCTCAGCCCCTTCATTTGTACAATTGTGAATTCCCATCACCTGAGAATACTTCCAACAAAACATGGTTGATGTCTACCTCTTAGTTCCAGAGAAAAAGTCGCTTAGAGGGATATAGCCAAATTACCCCTATTTGGCCCCGAGAATGCTACCAACCATATATGGATGATATCTATGTCTTAGTTCCAGAGAAGAAGTTGTTTAAAGCAATAAAGCCAAATTTACCCTATTTGGCCCCGAGAATGCTTCCAACCAAATATGGTTGATATCTATCTCTTAGTTCCAGAGAAGAAGTCGTTTAAAGCAATAAAGCCAAATTACCCCTACTTGGTCCCGCCCTTTGTGGGGTCAGCCCCACCATTTGTATAATTTTTAATCCCCATCGCCTAGGGATGCTTCCAGTCAAATTTTGTTAATTTCCAATTAGTGGTTCAGAAGAAGAAGTCATTTGAAAAAATTGTTGACAGACGGACAACAAACGGCATAACATAAGCTCATCTTGGTCCTTTGGACCCAGTGAGCTAACAAGATTATGAACAATCTGATGTCACATATCTTTGAATGCCAACTGGCCAGCGACCAACTACAGTCAGGGGCCAGTTATTGCAGACCCCTTGTTATTGTGTGCACAAAATTATTATTATCATATCATATCTGGCATCGTAGCTCACCTGATATGTATTCAACAGCTACTCGACAAAATTTGCTGTCGGCAATTGCTATACAAATATTTTCTGCATATATACTGAAGACAAAAGTATAAACAAATACTATGAAACAAGTGCCGTATTTTCTTGACAAAATTGCACGCCAAAGCATAATGCACCCCCTTTGAGATACAGTTTTCTTTGAGTACTTTTTGCACAGTAAAATAAAGTATATCAAATTCCTTCAGGTGAAATATATTTCTACTTTTTTCATAAATCTGCAAGAATAAATGTACTGTTGTAGAAAATTATTGCAATGTACAACAGTTACTTAAATATACAGTAAACAATGTTTATAACAAACACGCTTATAACAAAGCAGATATAATGCACTATTTCTTTGGTCCTGGGCATTGGCTGTATATTTTATCATATAAAATTGATGGATAAAACGAACATGCTTGCAACAAAATAACAGATATAGTGAACTCATTTTGTGGTCCCACATGTACTCTGTCAACGACAATAACTTTGTTTATAACGGACTGTAAATCTCTGAGCTGAGCTGAGCTGAACCCTGAGAAAATATCCACGGCCACGTGTGGCTCTTCAAAACAGCAATAAACAATTGAAGGCAAGTGATTAACTGGACTAAGTACTGACACCTTGTCCCAAATTAACACCCTCAATTAACAAGAGTAAAATAGTGATTAGGCAATAGCCTTTAAATGTGACAAATACAGAGGAAATTCAGACGAATGCTTACAACAAACTATGGTTATAACGAACTAAATTTAGTGGTCTCTTTGAGTTCATTATAACCATAGTTTCCTGTACATACGTTCTGAGGAAAATCATTTCTCTAATGATAAGCACAAGAAATGATGTCATCATATGATAAATATACAAACCAACGTTCTGCTTCCTCAGTCAGCTAATATCAGGGATGTTTACCAAGCCCAAAATAGGAATTTTGAGAGAATTTAAATGCAGAAATACCTGAACAGTGGCCACTTTAATTTCCGAATATTTAAGAAATAAATTGGGAAGGAATTGGTGATAACTCGTGGGTGGCTTGATATAGAACCAGCTACTACTTACTGGCATTGCAATCAGTTGATTTCTGGAAAGATTCAGTGTCTCCAGTTTTGTCCAAACATCTGAAAAATATTTACACTCAATACATCAGGAGGTGTAACTTAATAATGCTCCAATTAATAACGGACATTTCTTCATTCCCTTCCCCCCCAATATTTGTGATAAATTTTGGCAACACCACATCTTTTGCTGTGTCGTTTTTTTCAAAACTTCACTTGAGAAAAGTCAGTACAATTTTGTTTCAAGTTTCAAGTTTCGTGGAGAAAACGGTTACTGCCTGCACATGCTCATAAAGGTGAACAATCGGATGCAAATCACTTGGTAAACAAGCACTAATTATTTGTGATAGTGCCAAAGGTAAAGAGTTGGCTTCAACCTGGCAACGTGAAATTGACCCCCAACATGGCACTATTTGAAATCCAAAATGGTGCACACAGTTGTTTCCAGTGATTTATTGTGATCTAGCGCCAGTATCAAGGCAAGACCTCTAGGCTGTTGCTGTGCAGTCTTGCCTGACACACCTGAAACTGAGAGCTAGTGACGCAGAAGACATCCTGCACTTATGTCAGCAATCCTAGTTAAGTGATACCCAGTCCTTAATCTGCCAAAGGAGTCATAGTGTCTGCCACAACTGGCAACAGCGGACCTTAATTGTCCAGCACTTGCAACAAGTAATTTATTAAATAAATAGTCACTTAGATATTGTTGAAACATCCTTTTTTACTCTCCTTTCTCTGACTGTAATTTGCAGGGGATTCCTCCGGTGAGAGCACATTGCACTACTGGAATGTGTGAAGACATCACCGGTTTGAAAGTCACCAAAAGAGATGCCAAACACACAAAAGTTGTCAAGGGAGCGTAGCCCCAGCCCTTAGGCACCATTGCTACAGACGCCGATGTTGTTGGAGAGCTGTGGAAAGTGTAGCAATGACTGGAACCAGCTTACCTAACCATTGGTAATGGAGTGGTGACAGGCATAAAAGTCATTGAAGTCTACAATAGAATTGCCCATCCACAGTGCGGAGGAACCTGACATCCATATGCCACAACGCCCATCTGAGGATGTTGTCTCTGCAAAACATTCGATCCCACACTAGAAGGTGAATGGGATGCTGGAGAACTGCATAGTTCTAGGCATTTTGTCAGTACCCAAGCAGACGTCACTCCCAGGTTGCTTCAGCACTGATCCAAGGAAAGATGCCAATCCTAGGAAGGGAGTCGGCCCCTTATATAAGTAGGCACCGGCCCCTGCACCTGTGGACAAGCGAGGAGGCATAATTGTCAGCGGGGACAGTCTTGGTGACGATGATAACCAGGATGCCTAAACCCTCACCAAAGCCAGGGAGATTCAAGGCGCCTGTTCAGGCAGGTGGGATCAAGAGCAGATAACTCTGATTGGAAACCAAAGGCAACGGGCACGGCAGATGTAGAAGAGGCCTGTTTGGGTTCTGTGTTATATAATCAAAGTGAAGAAGGAAAGTGAATAAGGACTTCTGGTGGTGATGACCTTTATTTGGAAGTAGGCAAGAATTTTCAAAATACTTTCCCACCCAAGAGATACCGTACATGAAATCACGTCAAGTTCCATTTATGAATGTGCTAGATATTGAGCTGCCCACACAGACTTTCTACTTCAAACTTCGAATCCTTGATCTTCAATGTAATCCAAACACATGCAACATAAGGTGCTGTTGCACATATGACATCTTCCCGAGGCAAGGGAGTTAACTGACTATAAAAGTCCAGTTTCATTCCTTGCCTGGTATTATAGTTACATTTTGGCTGGACTAACGAGTCTATGCATAGACAAATTAAAATCGCGTAATGAAATCGACATCTGGTTTGTAAACTTCAGTGCAGATTTCAGATGATTGCTTGGTTTGGGTTTGGTTGGTTTCTTGTTTAACGCCGCACTCGGCAATGTTGCAGCTATATGACGGCGGTCTGTAAATAATCGAGTCTGGACCAGACAATCCAGTGATTGACATCATGAGCATCGATCCACACAATTGGGATTGATGACATGCATCAACCAAGTCAGCGAGCCTGACCACCCGATCCCGTAAGTCGCCTCATGAAAAGATTTGGAAAATATCTGTCGACGCCCAATGGACTTTACACTTGCTGTGCAATCATCTGAAACCCATGAAGGTCCAGGGTAGAATAGGTCTTCAGCAACCCATGCTTGCTGTAATCGAGCCACGGAAGTCCAGCCTCGTTCAGCAAGGGTGGAAACTTGGTAAAATCTAAATATTTTTTACAGTTGTATGCTTATCCTGCATTACTCCATATTGCTTTACTGCTCTCTTTGACAGAAAGACAAACTCTGTGAGATCCAGCTGCTGAAGAAAGTTTTCCCAACCAGTACAGGAAGCAGCGCCCTCTCACAGTCGGCACATGACCCGGAAGTCATGACGTCACATCAAAACACATAACTGCTTTAAACATAACATCTTCAACTTCGTGGGGAGGCAGTAGCAAAGGGAGGGCACTTAGACTTCGTAATGCAGGATAAGTATGCAAATGTAAAAAATATTTTACTAATTTTTTTAACTTATCCTGCATTACTCCGTATTGCATCTTTATCAGACAGCATGGCCGGTTGGCATAACTTCAGATGTGATCCATAATAAACCCTCGTCAAGGTCTGATGAATCCGCACTGCATACAAGTGATGACATCTACGACCATTCCTGTCTTCAGGAAACAAGAGTTGATGCAAAAAGGAAACACCCAAATAGGTAACCGAAATAGAATGAGGCTGGTAGGCCAAAAACTAGAACTTACCTAAGAGCGAAAGTGAAACGCAGTAGAGCCCTCTAATCTGAGGGATCAACACCAGAGAGTTTGACGGGCCCCGCTCGGGGTATCGAAAAATCAGCGGCGTCAGCGGCAATATCTACGACCATTCAAGAGCTAATGCAAAATGCAGAGCCCTCTTCGTTGGAGGTGAGGAACACTGGAGAGGTCGACAGGCACTGCACGGGGTGTCGGAGAATCAGCGGCGTTGGCGTTAGCGTCAACATCTACTACCATTCCTGGCAGAAAAAAGGTGTTTCCTAGACTTGTGGCAGGTTTTAGATCGTCAAAGAAAACCTTCAGTGCCCTTACTAGGCATAATAACGCTCCTCCTCATCCTCGACACCCACAATGGATGAGGGGGTAGGGGGTAATGAATGATCTATCAGGCTGTCCTTGGAGTTGATTCTTTACGATGAAGTCCTAGCACGGTCCGTGATGAACGGCGCCCTGTGTACCGCGTTCGAACCGGATATGGAGGACATCTAGGGTGTGGAGCTCATTGACCCGAGTGGCAGTAGCCAAAACCAGTAGAAACACCGTCTTTTTCCTTAGGTCGTAGAAGGAAGACGTGTGGAGTGGTTCGAAGGGAGCCGTCCGAAGAGCGTTTAAGACCACATTCAGATCAAACGCAGGCAGTCTGAACTTCGCCTTCTGGTCTTCAAGACGGAACAAGCGCAGCCAGGCCTGTAGTTCGGGAATTTTCGTCATTCTCCTTTCGTCCAGGATGGCAAGAATGGAGTTGATGGCGACCAGGTATGTGGACATGGTAGAGCCCTTCAACGGCCCTTCATGGGTGCTGCGCAAGTACAGAAGGAACTGAGCCAGGAACTGGGGTGACGCTGTCATCGGATCCTGGTGTTTGTCTGAACAGAATACCTGGAATGAGCATCATTTATCATCATACAGTCCCCATGTAGATGGACGGTGGGCTGTAGCAATAGCCTTGGCTGCTCTAGCCGAATAGCCCTTGGCTAATGGGGCTTTCTGCAGATGTGGCAGGCGTGCAGACGAAACCGTTCAGGTTATAGGGTGTGGCAACCGACTGTGTAGATGGAACAGAGAGTTGGACCACACCGGAAATTCCAGCGGTTGTCTCTGGCGATGTTTCGGAGGTCGATAACTTCTGGCCGGCCACCAAGACGCGACCAAAATCAGTGTCAGATGCCAAGTGGCCTGGATCTTTGAAGAACTGTGGGAGAGGGAACCAGAGGCGGAAAAGCGTACGCATGTAATCCTTCCCAGGAAAAACTGAAGGCGTCGAATGCAACAGCGGCAGGATCCTGCACCGGTGAAATGTAAGGCGACAGCTGGCAGTTAAAAAATGTGGCGAACAGATCGATGTTTGGTGTATCGATTGTTTGACATAGTCTGGCGAAGACCTCTGGATGGAGCTTCCATTCGGTGGGAGCCACCTAGTTAGGCCTGGACAGAGCCTGTGCCAGAACATGCTCTCAACCTGGTGAGTGCAAGACGAACTCCTTTTTCTTAAAGTACAGGTCCAGGCTGACCACCAAGTCGAGGAAGCATCCCTGGTTTAGCAGGGATGGAGAGTGGAGAGTACCCTGGTTCCTCAGACACCACACCATGGTGATGTTGTCAATGGACATGATCAACAGGGCGTTACCGAGAATTCTCTGCCAGCAAGTGACGTCCTGGATAAGCAGCTTTTATCTCGAGGTTGTTGCTGTGCCAATGGTGTTGATATCCGGATCACAGTTGGTCACAACGTGGGCTGGTGTGGGCAATCCCAGAACACTAGCCACTGACAAGGTGGAAGTCACAGTGGAAGAGCGGGAAGTCATGGTAAATGAGGTCGCCTACAAGACTGCAAGGTTGAAAAGTGAGCAACAGGGCTCTCCAATCGTGTAGCGCCGGGACAATACGTGGAGAGGTGTGCTCGCCTGCGAACCAAACCCCATATAGACGAAATAAACCAGCTCCACAATCGACCGCCGAGGCATCGACATAACTTGGTAGTTGGAAGTCCAGGCAATGTGTACATAAGAGAATTGAGGTAATCTGTAAAACTGTGGTTTGGGTAGATCGCACCGTACTGCACGAAGTAACATGATCGTTTCCATCCCCTGAGCGTCGTATTAGCACTCCTGTTCTTATATGGAGGTGACGATGAAGGACAACAACATGATACTAGGCAAGTAGTCAACAGGAGTCAATGGAATGGTCATAGGACTAAGTAGAAAATGGAAGAGATGATACACCCTGATATACGAGACCAGTCAACTATGATCCCGAGAAGTGG